CTTCTGCGAGAGGCTTCAAACCCCACCATAATATTCCCTGTTCATCATCTGTACTTTAGCACTGGCCACTGACTTTGCAAATGCATCACACATGTCCCCAGGGTGGCACAGAAAATCCAGAGAAATCAAAGGTGAAATTTAAAAAGCTTAGTTTTCTTTTTTTTTTTTTTTTTTTTTCCCTTTCTTTTTGCCGGTACCGAGAATCGAACTCACGACCGCCTGCTTGCAAGGCAGGTGCTTATGCCGCTGAGCTAAATCCCTAGCCCCAAAAGCTTAGTTTTCAGTGGTGATTCAGGAGTGTCATCATCACACAGAAAGGAGGTGGAAGGCCCCCTCGCTCTGCCTTCTGAGAAAGCTGCTCATCTAGGCAGGTGTACCCATGCAATACGATTTGAGGCAGGACAATGAGCTTCTCGGTGCTAAGCTTATAGTGACCAGTGGTCCCAACTCAGCTGGGACTAAAGGGTTTTCCAAGAAACAGAACCTTTGAGAGAGGGAACATAAGCACTGCAATACTAGAGCTCAATTCATAAAATAAGGATTATTGAACATAAATAAGCACTGTGATACTATGATAGCCAGCTCTTAGGTAGGACAGAGAGGGATGATATAAGATTTCCTCACACTACACCAAACACTGAACAATCTAGACATACAAAATAGGGAAGAGTGTTTGTTTATTTGCTTGTTTTTACAGTGCTGGGAATTGAACCCAGGAACTCAATACTCTACTACTAAGTTACACTTCCAGTCTATAAATAATTTCTGGAATTTGTCGTTAGTATTTTCACTGCACCTGACCATGGGTAACTGAAACCATGGAAAACAAAACCACAGATAAGAAGGAACAACTGTATTGTCAATGGAAAAGAGTTCTATGCCAAAATTGCTTAGGGATAACTTCCAAAATAACTCCCCCACACACTCCTAGCCAGGAGACTTTCATTCAGCAAGCTTAGTGGTATGCACGGCACATTAGTGATGTATTCTGACAAAGATCTCAAAGCACCCCCCACTTCACCTATCTAATATACAAACTGGGACATACACCCCATTCTCCTGCCCTGGGCTCAGGAAAAACCCTGACTGTATTCCACAGCCAGGTCAACTCATACCTCATAACTGTGATGAGGGGTGGGTGTACTACACCCATCAAATAAAACATACTAAAAGCAAAATTTGGAAAAGAAAACATCTCAGCTTTGTTGTACAACTTGGATAAATTCCTTAATCTCTTGTGCACCCAAAACCTCATTTGTAGCATCAGGGTTTACTATCACCTGACCCGGAATGGCAGAGGCAAGGGACGAAACTCATCAACCAAGTATCAGTTCCCACACCCTTTGCCTGGGTGCCCCACTCAACCCCAACCAAAATCTGAACAATCACATTCCTCTGTAAAAGCAGCTCCTCCTGGGGCAGACACCATGGAAAGTTGCTCGCAGAGTCCTGGCCTGTGTACAACTAGTTTCATTTCACTTGGCACATCAGCTATCAGTGCTTTAGAATAATAGTAACCTTCCTTATCTTCCAGACGCCACCCCGGTGAGAGCGGCAGCAATGGGTTCCACCAAGAGATAAATCGTGAACTCAAAAGACGCACTGAGTGGCTGATTCTTCTATTCTTCTCATCAGAAAAGAAATACTTGCTTTATAAAAAGACAAATGAAAATTTTTAAAATAGTAAGAGCCTGAATTATATCAAGCATTCACTATGACTAATCTATAGGTGACCTCTGAAATCCAGAAGTCTTCAAACTTGACAAGCCTCAAAACTGTCTACTTTGTAGAAGAAACCAAGTCACAGTATCTGGCATTCTCTTGACTTTGCACCTCCTCTGCAAGTGCCTTGGCCTCTGCAGGCCCTCAGGCCAGACTTTCGGGGCCTTCTCTTTCTCCACTGCCTTCTCTTCCTAGGGATCTCCTCTGTTTTCAGACCTCCTTTGTGTACTTCAACTGTCAATCTTGACCCAGAAGACCAGGTGCATCTCAAAGGTTGCAGCATGCAACCTTCGCAGCATTGAACTAAAACCTCCAAAAATCGATGTTGAAGCCATACTACCCACAGTACCTCTGATGGGACTTTATTTGGAAATAGGGTTGTTGCAGCTGAACTTGGTTAAGATGAGTCACACTGGAGGACAATGGGATCCTAATCCAATAGGACTGGTGTTCTAACCCAGTAGGACCATGGGAGACACAGAAACACATATTAAGATGGATGCAGACACTGGAGAGAAGATGCTATGCCCTGGTTTTAGATTTCCAGATTCCAAACTAGAACATCCCCAGGACACTCACACAGTCCTGGTGTGGTTTAGATGTTAAATGTTCATAAGCTCTTGTGTTGAAGACTCCGTCCCCTGCTGATGGTGCTATTGGGACACTAACCTCCAAAACTGTAAACCAAACAAACTTTTCCTGCTTTAAGTGATTAATTCTCAGGTATATTGTCACAGAGACAAAAAATAAATGACACAGTGCCCTGGACTCGCATGTCCCCACAATCAGTGGAGCGTCCTATACTGAGCTGCACGTGGCAGAAACCTGGCACTGTCATAAGGCCTCCGCCTCTCACTCCACCAGCAGCCCAGGTCTCTCAACCCTGCTCTCCACTTACAGCCACCGCCTCCCTGGGGACATCCAGAGCCTCCTAACTGGTTCCCAGTCTACCCTGGCCACTGCGGTCTGTCCTCCGCTCCTCACCCAGACCAGCTCTTCTGGTTCATCACCGTCTGCCCTGGCCTCCAGTCCTGCCTTCGCAGAGCTGTTTTTGCCAGAAGCCTGTGCCTCTCCCTCCCTGGTAGGCCCCAGCCCAAAAGCCACTTCCTCCTCCTCCTCCTCCTCCTCGAGGAGCAAGCAGCAGCCCCTCATCTCAGCCCTCACGTTAGAAGCTCGCTTCGCGCTGCCCATTTTTCCCTCACAGCATTTATCATGGCCCTGAGTCACATATTTATTAGCGTGGGGATTATTTGCTGTTGCTGTTGCTTTTTTATGTCCTTCTCTCCCTCACTAGAGGCCCCATCTGAGCAGGAACAATATCTATTTGTTCTCCTGGTGGTGGCAGAGAGTGGAACAATGCCTTGCTCCTAGGAGGTGCTCTATAAATATTTGCGGAATGGTCCAACCTAAATGCCTCTCATTGTGGCATGATGAAGTAGAGGGACGTGTTGCCTCTAAAATAAACACTATTAGCACTGACTCTAACTCTCCTCACCAGGAGGCCGAGGGGCTCAGGGAGCTCGGAGCTGCTGGGGACACTGTGACACAGACTGCTGCTCAGGGAGACACTGGTCCCCTGAGTGCCAATTCTCTGACTTCCTGCAGTTCACAGGGTGCGCCCACCCCCGGATTCCTGACCTAGGATATTGCTCTTGGTGCTCTGCAAAATCCCACTCACATATGTACGATCCTCCGGAGACCCAAATCAGCACTATGAAGGAGGTCATGTGGGCACCACGAGGCCTCCTCACAGACAGGGACAGGACAGGGTTCCCACTGCTCTCATGACTGGGCCTGGTCTCTCCCTGTAGGGGAGGCCTCTTGATACAACACAAGCCAGCGCTGCTTTCAAACCGTGCCTTTGGGGAAGAGTAGCACATGATGGTAGCAGGGACTCAATCCTATCATGCAGGACTCACCCCTGGCTCAATCACAGTACTTCTGCAGTCATCTGATCGATTTTAACAGCATCATTGGAGGCAAGTGACAGTTTTACACAATCCTCAGGATAAAAGGGGAATACTGATTTAAGCGTTTCCTATCATAAAGGCAATTTTCAAGCCAGGCATGGTGGCACAGTCCTATAATCTCAGCGCTTGGGAGGCTGAGGCAGGCAGATCCTTGCAGGTTTGAGATCAGGCTGGGCTACAAAGTGAGCCCAAGGCCAGTCTGAACCACATAGTGAAACCCTGTCTCAAGAAGACAAGAAAAAAGAGGCAATTTGCAGTTATTTCCTGGAAATTAGACAAAACACTTGTTTGGGTTTTTTTCTCTCTCGCTCTTTAAACTTGTAGCAATAAAAGAAAATTTCACTGTACCAACCTGGTAAGCAAGAGTATTCTAAAAATCTCAGGATTCCACCCCAAATTGAATTTACCTCTATGGAATTGATGATACTTGACATTTTCCAGGCAGAAGAGCCAAACATACACAAAGCAAAAGCAAAAATGGACTCACTTGCCATCTGTCCAGGCTCTTGAAACCATACAAAGGGTATGTGGATATGGGTGTGGGTGTGTGTGAGTGTGTGTTCCTGGGGATTGAACCCAGGACCTTCACTCTGAGCTACATCCGCAGTCCTCCTTATGTTTTATTTTAAGGCAGTCCTGTTAAATCATTATGTTTCCCAGGATGGGCACACACTTGTTTCTGCTGCCTCAGCCTCCCAGAGTTCTACGATCACAGGCATGCGCCATCTCACCTGGCTAATAAAAGGATTCAAGCTGCAGCCAAGAAGTGAACAGGGTTAGTGACAGAAAGACTCCAAGGTAATGGCCGCTGGGTTGATCCCCTGCTACGCAGACACCACACCCCACTTTCCTACTGAGTCCAGTCTGGGCATCGCTGGACAGGTCTCCCTGCTCACAAAACACTGAACACTAGTGTCACTTCTGTCACTCAACCCCTCTCCCCCTCTCTCTGCCTCAGCCCCGGTCACCACCCCGTCCCTCCTGGACGGTCACCTTGGCCCTACTGGGCCACCAGCTTCCCACCCTCCCCAAGTCAACAGTCTTTTCAAATATAACTGTTTCTAGGCTGTAGGTGAGCCACATGAACATGCAGAGGATTTCAAGCTGTCAAAGGAAAGAAGCATCTTCCATACTATCCAGACTGCAAGCTCAGGGCCACTGTGACTTTCTTCATTAAAGCAAGAGGCACTCCTTTCAGGGCATCACATGTCTGCAAAGTTGGGTTCCCCAGAAGTACCTGCTTAAATATTGGAAAGCACTGAATGCAAGAACTCAAACAGATTTTTTTACCTTTTTTTTATTTTAAAGAGGGTAAAATTAAACACAACAAAACAGAACATAAGAAAGCAATGTAAGAAACATAAATTTCAAAGCAAGACAACCAGAGATCTTCATCATCTATCATATTATCTCTTGTTTTCTTCCAAATAGTTGTCCATATCTTCACATACAGAGAATTCACAAGAAACAACATAGTTTAGAACTGATCTGAACAGGATGATGAAGGTGTTTTAGGTCTTCAAGACCAGACACTAAGGAAGTCAACAATGGCTGTCTCTCATTCTCTTCAAAGTAGCTGTCCATAGCTTCACATACATTGAAATTAAACAAAACAAAACATGCTAAAATGACTCTGAACAAAGAATAATAGTATTGTTGGATTTCACATCATGACGCCAAGGAATCAGCACTGGGTACAGTAGTGTCTCTTTTTCTTCAAAGTAGTTGTTCATTTCATCATGTGTTATATGATCCATTCTCATAAATTACAGGTTCTACGCATTCATGAGTTTCTACATGTATATCTTTCCTTTCTGTGTTAGAGGGAAAAATAAAACAAAGCAAGACAAAACAAAACAAATTCCTAGAAAAACCTGAAACAAAAAGTTATATAAAACCACAGTACAAGGTGATCTTCAATGGTTACTGTGTTGTCTCTTGTTATAGAGACAATTCAATAGAATTGTCTATATCATCAGACATAGTATAATTGAACATAGCAGTACATAACAATATTAATAAAAACAAAACATTATAGACAGTGTAAAACTTCAAAAGCAGGTAATAATCAAACCAGAGTGGGTATCCTAGTGAATCTTGTCATCTTCAGTGTAGTTGCCCATACTGTCAGACTTGATACTATCAGTCATAACAGATTTAAATTAAATCTGTCAATATAAAACAGCAATCTAACAAACCAGATTCAACTAAGATCAGTCATGATAAAATCAAACAGATTTTTATACATCAGTCTTCACAGTAGCATGATTCACAGTAGCCCAATGGTAGAAGCAACCCAAATGTCTATCAGCAGATAAATGGGTACACACAATGTGGTATGTGTACACAACGAAATATTATCCTGATGTAAAAAGGTATGAAGTGCTAATACATACTGCAACATGACTGAACTTTTAAAACATCACCCTAAGTAAAGAAAAAAAAAAATGTACAAAGACTCGAACACGTCATTCTGCTTACATTAGGCACTTGCAGCAATCTAAGAAAAGAACAATCACTGATTCCAGAATGCTGTGACCAAAATACTACCTTTGAGGCTTATGTATCAAAAAAAAAAACCCTAATTCTCATCCACATATCCTTCTCCCTGTTGTTTACATTAATTACAGGGAACAGAGAAACATGCTAAGTGACACCACATGGCTACAATCATCAAATCTATTGTATTGAGGAGAAATATAGGGCAAAGAAACACTGTTTTAAAAATGTATTAAAGAGAAATAAAAACAAAAAGAAAAATGACTTAAGAAATATGTCAGCCAATGTGGAACTTATCAGATCCTGACTCAACCAAAGTGAAAAAAATTGTAAAAACATAAGAGGAAATTTAATAAGTCAGTAAGTGTTTATTGTTTAGGAATTGTTAATTTTTGAATACAATATTACACTTCTGTTTTACTTACCAAGGTCTTCTCCTTCAGAAACAAATATTAAAATGTTTACAGAAGAGACAATATCAGAGATTTGCTTCACAATATAGATATGCCCACTTATGATGGTGAAGTTTACAGTTGTTCAACTTTGTAACAGGGCAACAGCACATCTATACAATCATTGTTTTTCATCTTCAGTATCGTAAGAAAGTATGAGATACTCAGCAATTTATTATAAAATAGCATTTTGTGTTGGATTTTGCCCAAGTATAGATAATGTATGTATTCTGAGCACATTTAAGACAGTTTCAGTCAACTTATATTTGCTAAGTTAGGTGAATTGAATGCATTTTTGAATCATGATATTTTTAATTTTAAGCTCATCAATAAGTAATCCCATCATAAATCAAGGAGTTTATTAGTCAGCTTTCCCACTGCTGAACACAATACCCAACACTCATGATTTAAAAGAAAAAAGGTTTAATTTAGCTATTGGATTGGAGCAAGTTCAGTGCATAGTCAGCTGGCTCCAAGGCAGGATCATCATAGTGGAAAGACAGCGTACAGCAAAGCAACTTAGTATATGGTGGGTGGGAAGCAGCACAGAGGATCAGTGCCAGAGCAGGAGCAGGAAACCAGAAATAGACCCCAAGCCCATGTCTTTGTGACTCATCCAAAAACACCTAGAAGTGTGCTCTGCCATCCGCTGGAGTGAATCCCCAAGCCAATCAACTGAAACTCTACCTCAAGGAGTATCTATAATGTAAGTGAAGGACGGAGGGGTGAAAGAAGAAATCAAGTTGGCTGTGAATTAGTATCAAAATTGGATGATGGGTACTCACAGATCAATTCTAGTCTTCATTCTGCTTTGCAAAGCCTGTTTGTATGGCTCCCTCTTCTAACTCTTCGGATGGCTCCTATGCACTCAGAGTAAAGTTCATTATGGAAGAATGATGCCCTCTACCAGCCTCCTGCTCACTGACTTTCTGCTGCAATGATCCTGGACTATGAGGTCCTCCCCATATCGTACCTCACACCCTCTATCCTGATCTTACAGTCCCCTCCCTCTGTGTCACCTGAAAACTCCCCACCGTGCCTTCCAGCACAGTCCCAGTGTCTCCATTCCTGGATTGGGAGCTTTTCTTAATGACTTTATAACAACCTATTATCAGACAGTGCTGTAAATCACACTTTAATTTCCCGCGAATTCATTGGACTGGGTGTCTGACATACAGCAGACCTACAATAAACATTTGTTGAATTATAAATGACTGAACAAACAATGAATAAACTAGTATTGTTGCCATTATCATTAATGGTTCTCTCTAGTAACAGTTTGCCGACTACGAAGGCTCCAGAGGGAAACGATGCTCCCTCCTAACTGGGAAGGAAGCGTTGAAGAGGCACCTTCAAGAATGAAAAGGCACATGTGGGTAAATCGCCTCCAGGCATCAGAAGTTGGAGAGACACAGAATCAATCAACATTACAGTTTCCAGAAAATTCAGATCCAATCAAGGAAACAGAAGGTTAGAGGCCCAGTCTGGTTCCAGGAGCCTTGACTTCAGGGAAATCCAACCTTCACCCTCCTGGGACCTACCCAGCCTTAAGTATTGCTCCTTCTGGGGTCACCGTTTCCTCATTTGTCTCTTGAGAACGTCTTTCAGGCCTCACATCCACAAATAACCACAAAGCGAAAGAGAGCTGGAGGCAGGAGGTGAGAGGAATGGGCAAGCTGACGGGTGAGATGACAACCGAGCCAGAGTCCTGGTGGCTGGGGAACCTGACAGAGTGGGAAGTGCAGCCTCGAGACTTAGGGGACTTAAGGGGACTTAGGTGGGTTCTCTGAGAAGTCTGGTTGCTTGGGTTGGGTGTCCAGCCCAGTGAGGGAAGGCGACCTCTCCTCTACCAGCAGAGTGGCCTCTATGCCCTCAGTCACCCCATCAAGACCCGTTCTTCTGCCCCGCTCCGATGGGCTCAGCACCAACCCAGCAATTAAAGAGTTCAAGCACCACTCCCAGACACAGATAGGTTTAGAGGAAGACCAGACAGTGTACAGTTGGTGTGCGCTGTTTCCCTGGGGCTCTCTCTTAAGAGGAAAATGGGTGGCCCAGAAGATGGGTGGCCTTAAGTCATGAGACCACACTGAGTGACAGGAGAATTCTGGAGCCAACCTGGGTTGGATGACAGACCCATGAGGAAGCACTGGCCCTTTCTGCAGTCTAGAGAGTCAGATTTATGTCTTCCTCCTTCTCTTCTCCACCAAGGCAGTGACCTACTGACGTAGCCAGGCAGAGGTTCCGAGCAGAGGTCTGAGAACGAGACAAGACGGACCTAAGCTCCTGTCCTCCTGGTCTTCCTCTACCCTACTGGTTCTGACACTGCAAAGGACCGCACAGCAGAACCACCTGTGCCCTTCCCAGACTAAGACTGGGGTCCACACATCTGTGGTCTTGTCATTTGGGCTTCCTAGAGGACTCCAGGTGCTCCATGATCGTCCATCTTTCACAGCATCATACTCACCCATGGCTGTGCCCCGTGACCAGGTCTCTGATTCAGGAGATCTGGGACGCAGCCGAGGATCTGAGTTTCTAACCAGGTGACACCGCAAGCTGTTTGAGAACCAGGCCTGCACCTCAGGTCATCAGTCCTGGAGCTCCACCTCCTCTCTCACCTGAAATGGAGACAGCACTGGCTGCAGCAATGCTGCCATCAAAGGGATTAAAGGTGAAGTCTGAGATGCACCTACAGCAGAGCACACAGGTACCAAGTGTGCTCTGAGCACAGCCAGAAGAGACTGCATGGCCCTGAGGGTGTGTCATTGTGCTGTCCGGGGAAGGGACTGTGCTGGTCGTCAGCTTTCTCTCCCACCTACTATTTCTTTGCCTTCTCAAAATTTAAAAACATCCCAAAAGAAGCAGGCATTCATGTTTCCTGGCCAGATTCTAACTCTCTGGAGTTTTTTATAGAATGATGCTTATCAGAGGAAAAACATCTGTTCCACTTTCTTTAATCTCTAATTTATCTAATCTCCCCTTGTAAAGTAGGTATATTGCTAATGACTGAATTTCTGCCAAGGGAAGGAAAATGCTTGTTTCAATTACTTATTCTTCTCATTGACTTTACCCTCTGAGGTACAATATCATACAACATAAATATAATGAATGGGCCACTTTTTCCGGCGTCTTCATCACCGGCCACTAATAGAGAGACTTCCAGAATACAAGGATGTCATTTTCTGTGTCTCCACCCTAAGCACCAGACACACGTTTTTCATAATAATTCTCTTCCTAAGTTGTGTCCTCCCTCGACCTGCCCAAGGAGAACCCTCTGTACATGATGACCATGCCGGAGAGCGGCCACCAGAGGGCGCCGCAGAGCAGTTCTGCCTGCCCCCTCCAGGGCCAGCGACTCCAGCCGCCTGGACGCACAAGCCCCGCCTCGGGTTGTTCAGTGTCTGGAAGGGTGTTTTCCAGAACCGGAAGGCACCGACACGGTTATTTTCTTTTTTTTTAAATTAAGTCAGTAAGCAAATATGAATTGCTCCTATGTGTTTATAAAAGTAAGCAAAGATGACAGTGGAATTCGATCAAGAGGTGAAGTTTGAGAATTGCAGAGCTATGGGGGTATGGGAGGGACATAAAGACCGGCTGCAATGAGCTCTTCACTTTACAGATGAAGAAAGGGGAATCAGAGAGCTCACAAAGTCACCATCGAGGAATGGAGAATCAGCCCGGGCTCTCCTGTCCAGATCAGATCCAGCTCTACCAGACCAGATGTACCAGTGAGCCCCAATTTCCTCTTCATCTGTCCGCCAGTCCCTCTTCCCATGCCAAAAAAAGTAAAAAGAACGCAAACACGACACCTGACATTTCATACTGTCACATGTTTACACCCTTCCATTTTTGCATGTTTTATTGTAGTAAAGTATACCCAAGATAAAATTAATGATTTTAACAACGTTTAGGTGCACTTCATTGGCAGTAAATATATTCACATAGCTGCGAGTTGGTCATTTCCAGCTCCAGAGTTTGTTCATCACCCCAAACTAAAACTCTGGACCCAGGAAACCCTAACCCCCCTTCTTCCCCTCCACCCTCCTGGGGTGCAGAAGGAGCCCTCTGTCCTCCTGTCAGTCTCCGGATGCCTGTAAGGAGACTCACACAGTGTGTGCCTTTCCTGTTGGAGGTCTTCGCTTCCCAAGCTGTCCTCCAGGTGCGGCCCTGTTGCAGTTGGTGTCAGAATAGCACCCCTTTTGTGGCTGAATAGGACTCTGGCCACTTCCCTCCTACAGCTGGTCCCAGGGTGAAGACAGAAAGACAGAACAGAGAGGCGACTCCAGTCACTCTCAGTTGTGAGTGTGAGCCTCGCATTCTTTCCCCAAATCTACACAACATCCGGACAGATTTCAGACTCACACGCCCATCTTCTGGCTTCCATCCCACGGTCCTTGCTCTCCTCCGTCCTGGGCGCCCCCTGGGCCTCTTTTGCACAGCGACATGCAGAAATTGCTCCTTGTTTGGAAGAGCATCCAGTCCGCTTCATGAACACACTTGGGATGAACCAAGCAGGAGATAAAAACAAAACTAGGAAGAAATAACTATATTTATTATGACCTGAAGGGACACGCCCTTCCCAGAGCTCTTCTGCATGCTGGGTTAACAAAGTTAAAACCCTGATGTGCCAGCTCATCCCATCACAAACGTATGCAGCAAGCACTGGAGATGCCCAGGCTCTTTGCCAGAGAGGTCTGATTGAACCACGAGGCTCTAGACAGAATGAAGACACAGTTGCCAGATATTTTTACACTGGTAAAGCTTCCTGGCCAGATAACAAACAAAAACTACATCCTCAGACAACTAGGGATTGATTTCACAAGTGAACTATTTCTCATATTTATCTGTTTTACGAACAAAATTCGTTATGGCTTTTGTTTATGATTATGATCATAGTTTATGATCTCTAGTTTTAGTTATCTGTGAGCTTTTTTTTCCAGTATCGAAGACTGACACCAGGGCCTTTGTACATTCCCAGCCCACTATGTGCTTTCTGCACACAACATCAGTTAATTTCTATACACACACTACAGGATTTAAAATTATATAACTAGCTCAGGGTTACACAGGGTAGACACCAGCCAGGACTCCGCTCAAGTGAAATGACCTCAGTGCCCATCCAAACTGCCTACTGCTGAGCTAAATTAGCCAGGAGCTTGAAGCTGCCCTGGGAAGGGAAATTCTCTGTCCCCAAACCAAAGCAGCAGCCCTGATTCCATTCAATGAGTCTTATCTGGACGTCTTCTTTGTACAGTCCTGACAGGTACTCTAAGAGTCAGCAAGAAGAAGAGGACTCAGCCCCCCTGGAGCTGACACCTGATACATACCTGCTCAGTTCTATCTGTGACTTGTTGGGTTTATGTTTTGGATCATGGGGCAGTTTTGAATATAGTATAGTATGAAGGAACCAGAAATATTACTGGATAGCATAAGGTGGAAAAACACAGTACCTCAATTTTTACTAACAAATTCTGCCCAAGCATTTTCGAACTTCACTTATAATTGCAGAGATATCTGATATCCCATAAGATTTGCTCTCTTGTTCTAAAAATGTCAGGTCTTAAAGGGCATCATCTGGGGACCCAGAGCTGGTATCAAGATTCCAAACCTAGAGATGTTGTAAGTCACATGGTGTTTTCTGAGACCATATTTGCTCTAGGAATATGCAGAAAAAGAAAAGGAGCTCAGATCCATCCTGGTTCATATTCTAAATACTGGATGTTCTTTAACTTGACTAATAAACAGAAAATGAAGCAACATTCAGAGAAGGTTGACTGATTCTAAAGGGGAGAAAATCCCTCTCAGTGATCCAGAATCCTTCTCAGTTTCTGTTGCTCCCTGTCCCTGACAATATTTGCCAATTTTCTAATAGAAAGCAAAATGCCTGGGCTATTCACGGGGACCCAAGGTCTGGGAGGGCTACAGACACACAGGCTGGGAGGAGGTGCCATCTTTATACCCCGATTCCCTTGGCTCCCACCCAGTACGTCACTCAGGAAAAAAAGGCATATTCTCCAGTGTGTGTTGAAGCAAGAACACTTGTAGCAATAAAGGAAAAATATAAAGAGTACTTCACCTTCTGTGAATAACCAGAGGCAAAAATAGAAAAAGTTGTAACCGGTGAACATTTTCTTTTAATATCTAAGTACTTTAAGAGTAAGATGAAAACACAAAGGCTATTTCTACTAGGAAAGTTACTCTCAGGGTAATTTTAAGTCATATTCCAAAGGAAATTGGAAATTTATTTTCTTACAAATAGTATAGTAACGTGCCCAACTATACTTGATGTGTTATAACCTCATAAATGGCTCTCAAGTATCTCAACCTGAACACACTCAAACCAAACCCATACTGTTATTTATTTTGCCTTTGAAAAACTTCTCAGATCTTCTTTCTCCACCTATCCCCCCACCTCTTCAATCCAGGTGACCATTAGTAGTAACCATAAGTAGTGAGATACTATTTCACTACTTACTAAGCCAGCTTCAACCCAACGTTACACTTTTCGAAACAGATCTTACCATGTTACTACCAGCACCATACACACTTAAAACTTTTCAAGGCCCAGAGGAAGGGGACCTAATCCCCCTCCCACTGCCCAGCTCTAACCTCCCACCACATTGAGATTCAGGCCAGCAACTTGCTTTGGCCAGTGGCATGTGATCAAAGATGGCACACACCTGTGGAGTAACCCAGGTCTTGGCCATGGCTCTTTGGCCTCTACCATAAGAAAGGAATGCCCAGATTTAAGCTGCTTCTTCAATCTTGGATCACAATGAGTAAGATCCACAGAGCAAAGCCATAGCTGACCTGAGTCAAACGTTCTATAAGCTTGGGTGCTGGCACACGCCTGTAACCCAGCTCCTAGAGAGGCTGAGCCAGGAAGATCACAAGTCTGAGGCCAGCCTGGGCAATGCAGTGAGACATTGTCTCAAATTTTTTTTAAAAATTAGAGTGCTAAAAATATAGCTGCACAGCAGAGTACTTACCTAGCATGTGTAAAGCCTGAGTTCAATCTCTAGTACAACAACAAAATGTAACATGAGTGAGAAATAAGCATTTGTTACTTGGAACCGCTGAGATTATTTTTCCCACATTTTTTACACAGCATTGCCTACTGAATGCTAATTAGTAGTTTCTCATTACTCTTAAACTAAAACCCAAAATCTGTATCTAGTGTAAAAACCCAACTTTCACTTGTTTACATTAACCTTGCTTTTGTGTGCCAAGCTTCTCTTCACCTCTTCAGCACCCACCCCTACCTCTTATGGAGTCACTTATGGAGTCCCTTGGAGCATCAGCTTCAAAGTGGCTTCTTATAAGAAAGCATTGCCTGGCCCCTTAGTTAATCCACTACCTGGCTCTCCTTTGCAGAATGCAACAGATTTATAATTTTATAGTCATTTTCCTCGATGTTCAATTGCTACCTCTTTTCTTAAGGAGTTTATCACAATTTTCTTTGTTCATTTAATATCTGTCCCTTCTCCACCCACCACAAACTCTCAATGTTTAAAAAAAAAAACCTTCCTTTCTGAGTTTGCTAATTATTGAATCCAAGACGTAGCAAATCACTGGCTCTTAATAGATCTTCAATACATTTTTGTGAATGAATAAGTGATTCATAAAAGGCCAAACACTACAGCTTAAAAGTATAATATAAAATCTAAATATAACAATCATTAACAAGCATTTCTCATTACTCAGTTGAGTCAAATGACAATTGAGTTAAATGTTTGCATTTAACACCAGTAGCTAGATTATCACAATTTGGACGTCTGTCTTCTCCCATGTCAATCCATTCTTGCCCCTGAAGAGCAGGTCAGTAAGCAATATCTTCCACTGTATCACATGGCCTTGCAGTGGTGGGTGTCAAACCCAACCTTACAACAGAATGCCTGGGAGGTTCTTTAGGAACACAGATTTCTGGGTCCCTCTAAAATTTCTGATTCAGCCAAGGAGGTAGGATTCTAGCCAGTTTCAGGGGATTCTGAGTCAGCCAGGAGAAGGCTGCCTCCACAAACACTGAGTTGGAGGGGTCTACACACATTGGGGACTCTACCCTTTGCAGCCCTTTCCACTTATAACCCAACTCTACCAAAACTAGCTCAGACTCAGGCTCACACACAACCAGCACAACAGCATGACAGCATGGAAGGGATTGTGTACTGGGGTCTACACCATAAGCTAAAGGATTACAATTTTAATTGGAATTTCAGGGTCACCAAGACCCCCTTCCTGGGAGTCCCAAGTAGATAGCAAGGCATACCAAAGAGGTCAGGGAGGCAAAGGCAGCAAAGGAAAAGGCGGCCAGTGGTCAGGGAGGGAATGACACGAGGTGTGGTGCGAGTGACCCCAGAGGGCTGGAGCTGGCTTCCTGCTCCCTCGGAGTCCCTCAGCGGTCTACCTGTCCTCCTTCCTGGCACCCGGGCCATTCTGCTGTTGCTGTTAGTGTTCGATTGTGTCCTCCGCCCTCATCACTGCCAAATGCAGTCCTAACCCCCAGTACCTCAGAACGGGACTGTGCTTGGAGATAAGATCTTGAAAAAGAAATTAGTTGTGATGATGTCACCTGAGGGGCTCTCACCCAGTATAACTGGTGTCCACACAGAGGAAAGACCACCAAGGACATGGGGAGAAGGGAGGAGAAGGAAGGCTTGGAATTCACAAAAGAAGGTGGGAGACCTCAGGAAACCCAGCTCTGCTGGTAGCTCAGTCTTGAACTTCCAAACTCCAGAACCATGAAGTCTTTAACTCTTTCAGGAATTATACTACGTTGATACACACACACACACACATACACACACACACACACACACACACACACATTTAGAACAGTGCAACTCTCAATTGCTCAGGTCTGGAAACAGCCTCGCTGCCCACCAACAGATGAATGAGTAGGAAAAATGTGATCTGTACTGGAATGTGTTATTCAGCCACAAAGAAGAGTCAAATCATGCCATTTTCAGGAAAATGAATAGAATTTGAGACCATAATCTTAAATGAAATAAGTCAGACACACAGTTAAATATTGCATATTCTCTTGTATGAGAAACCTAAAATATAAATAAAAGAGTAAAAATAAAGGGGAGGTGATAGGAAACAAAAAGACATTGAGGAGATGGGGAAGCGAAGTGGGGGTGGGTGGAAGAGGACACAAAGGATGAAAAATGATCCAGCCATACCACAGACATGCATCAGCTCCCAAAACAAATGCAACTGTGGTGGATTGCAAATATACATTCATAAACAAACAAAAACATCTGGTAAGTCCGCCCAGTTCTAGAACCTTGTTCTACACCCTAGGCAGATGACTGCCTTAGTGCTTAAGCTCAACAGATGTAAAAAAGCCATTAGACAAGGGCCAGAGGCTGAGGGTGAGGGTGAGGCAGTCTGCTAAAGGACCTGGCCTGAGTGGGAGTATGTGGGGGCCTCCGGGGATCTTTCAATAGGAGAGCTGAACAGGAGCCATGTTTTCTGCAAAATCCTCCTGGATGATAAGGATGATGACAGGGACATCCAAGAATTGGTGAGCCTCCCTCTGATGGGAGTCACGTACGCACACCCACATGACTGAAGACTGACATTAAGTGGCAAGGGAAGGGAACCCTGATATTATTGGGGCAATCGATAACACATCAGGCATCAATCAGGATGCTAAGGCAACCGAGCATTTATGGGTCAAGCACATAACAATACACGGGAAACCTCACACTTTGAAGGTAATTGAAAACAATTCTTTTCCAAAAATTATTCTAACAGTGTTTGCTCTAGAATTACAACATAAAATATGTTTTAGTTTTTAAATGCAACAATCTTTTAGTTAAACAAGACAATGCTTAAGCAATCAAAAGAGAGAACTAAAAATAAGCTGCCTCCTGTTAGCACAGGCAGAGTTTCGAGGATCCTCTTGCAAGGTCGTCTTAGCTGTCACCTGCTTCCCTCCCCGAGCTCTGGGCTCTCTGCCTGGCTCACTGACTACAGTGTCCTGTGTCTTCCCAGCCCAACCCTGACTATGGGTCATTGCTCTGGCTCTCCTGGGCATCCGGAGCCCTGCCTTCCTCCAAACCCTGTACTCACGCTCACAGCCAGAAAATGTGCAGAATAAGAGCTCAGAGCAGAGGTTCTCCCAGGATGCCTTTGCAGAGGAACCACATGCAGTGAGGTAATGCATGTGATGTGCACTGCACTCATAGAAACCAAACCACCAAACCCGAGAAAAAAAGCAAGCAGCATGGCTACCTCATAGATCTCCACGCTACCATTTGTGAAAACTGTGTCACCAGCCAGCCTGCTGGCTGCTCTGTAAAAGAGCATCTAAGAAAAGCCGCCTGGGGCTGTCCGAACGATTAGTCACTCTGAAAGTATGCAGAATTGGTCTCAGGGATGCTACATCTCCCCAGCTGCTTCTATCCTTGCCCTGTCTTCTTTTACTCTTGGTGTTTATATACAAGCAGAAAAATATCTCTTCTTGAACCCCAAGCCTCACTGTTTTGCCCCAAGTCCGAGTCTATGTGACTGGCACATTCCATCCCCCTGGCCCCCTGCCTCACCCAGAACCTCGCCTTTCCGTGCCTCCAGGGGCACTTGGAAAGGGTAGCTGGGCTCCCCAAGAAGAGGTAGGGACTGGCCGAGGTGATTGTTGCTGTCACCCTGATCAAAACCCATTTCAAACCCTGAAATATACGTTTCTCACTTAATCCCAATTCTTCACACTTGTTTTAGGATACGATTTAACATGAAATGTGAAATATTTGCTTTGTGACACTCGAGCTTGGTCTGTACACCGATTCCATGGTGCTAATCCCCTCTGAGTGCTGCGATTTAAGACTGGAGCTGCCAAGAAGCACCTCGCTCCCTGGGGAACAGCAGCCTCATCTGCATGAAACCTGAAGGGGGAGGAGGAAGGAGGGTGCAGAAGAGGCAAGCAGCCATGTCTGAATGCCCCCCAAGGCCCTTGTGCTGTCCCTGCTCTCAATAGTCACACAGCATAGTACTGAGGTCCAAAAGCAGGAGGCCAAGGGGCCACTTTTCCTTTCTGAGAGGTAGAAATTGGACTATTATGTAGTCTTTTCCACTTTCTCTTCTTTCCTGAGAGTCAGCTATGGTTAAAACTAAAGAGGGATGGGGGTGGCTCAGAGGTAGAACCCTTGCCTAGCATGCATCAGGCCTGAGTTCAATCCTCAGCACCAAAAAAAATTTTTTTAATGTTTTGAAGACCTATATTAGGTTCAGATCCTAATTACCATCTTCTGCAATATGTTAAACAAATGATTTTTAAAGTTTAGTAGATTTAGTTTTTGTTCTTTTTTATAGTACATATTTACAGTACACAATGATCACACCTGATTTGCTTTGAAAACTGAGTTACAATCCCACTTACCCTACAGGGTTTTAAGAGAATTAAACAGGGTAATTTGTATAAAGTACCCAAGACAGTGATGGCAGATAGGAAAGGATCAATCAGTGGCAGCTGCTAAAACAATCTCATTGTTATTTACATAAAGGGGTCTTACAGCCATGAAATAAAGTAATGAAACCACAATATGGTTATTAAAGAGACAGAAAAGTCAACTAACATGGTACTCTTTTTACAGGTAGAAAACAAAATAATTCACTTATGCATTGCAAATCAATGTGGAAAATGACATCCCAGTTTGATCATTTGCCACATATTGGCCCCAACTGTGACCTGCTACTGATGCTTTGGGAGGGCACCCAGGGAAAACCTCCCCTCACCGCTGCAGCTGGAAGAGTGGTGAGTCTTCTCATTAGCTCTGCTGATGTTTTATCTGGGGACATTGAGGCCATACATGGTACTCCAGTGTAATTCTGACTTTGTGACCCTTAGTTGGATCTGTACCCCAGCTTAATGGCATTATAAACCAAGGCAGATCTGGTAAGCATGTTACTGGGAACAGCGATGTGGGCTCCGCACCTTGGCCTGTGCTTTGTCAGGAGACCCTCCCTCCTTCACAAGCTATAGAACACGGTACACTGAGAGTGATGCTGCAGTGGTTATACAAAAGACAAGAGGAATGACTTCCTTCCTGCTCTTCTCCAACAACTTAGGTGCTAGACTAAGAACAAAATAGAAGAAACTGAGTGAGTGATTCATAGAGGCAAGAATAGGCAAGGAAGTTTTATAAACAAGAAGAGCTAATACTCCATTTCTAAGCTATTGGTGACAACAATGTGACCCAACTCCACTCTGAAGACCTGCATTCATCTGTGAGCTGATAGTAGTTTTTTGCAAGAAGGGATGATAGTACAGGTGTGTCACTAAAGGTTAGAGAACTTCCTCTATGGGAAATAAAAGACCTGATTTTTAGTGTTTTCCAATCCATGATGTAAATAATTCCAAAGTGGTCATTCCCAAGTTACCACATGAGGGCATTGCATGCAGAGCTGCAAAGGAGGAATATAATTAGGATCATAGATGACAAGGACATTAGACAATAGAGGAAAGGACCACAAATAGAAGAGCTAAACTGGAATTCAATAAAACTAAAACCTGAAGACTGAATAGCTAGGAAAAGTGGAATCATTTCCAAGAATCCCTCCACACACTTGAGTATATGCTGATTTTTCTATTGGGTGTGAGTTTATTCAAGATGA